ACGGGGATGCCTCGGGGGCGATCCCGGCGGCCAGGAAGCCACTCAGGACCCGGCGGAGCGCTTCTGTGCAGCCTCAGCCCATCCAGGTGTATGGACAGGTGAGCACTTCTGCAAGCCGCCTCCTTCCAACCCTTTCCTCTCCCAGCACTTCCTCGCCCCCGCACCCATCCTTTGCAGTCGCTTCCCAGGTGCAGGCACCGCTTGGGGACTTCCCGGCTGGCATGTGTTTCTTTCTCTCTCTCTTTTTTCTTCTCTTTTCCCCCACATCACATGAGTACAGTCGTCAACACTCGGGTCGCATAGATCTTTTCCTTCTTCCTGTCGATTTTAGCAAACGTATTCCAGGTAACTCAAAGGGTGCAGCGCCTCTTTTCCCAGGCTGTATGCAGACAGACCAGTGTAGTTTCCAGCAGGTATTGGAGGGGTACAGCATCATTTATACATCTGGATAAAAACGGGCACCTTCTACTATCCTTTGGCAGCGGGGGCGAGAAACCTGCAGTTGTAAAGCACACAGAATTGCAGAGGAGGGCTTTCCGCGTTTACCCCCATGAACCCCGATAAAGGTGGGCAACTCTCAAAGCTCCACGATTGTCCCTTGTGTACCCGGTAGATGTGTGCGTGTGTGCTTGTGTGCTTGTACATGTGAGTGTGTAAGGCTGGATTTTTATTTTCGTGGGAATGTGGCATACCATCCTACCCCCTTTCCTTTCCACCCCCTCAGGATGATGACTTTATTTTAGATAGGAATTATCTCTTATGACACTCAAGGATTTGAAAGGACTGCAAAAATTGGTGGACTTATTATTCGTTAAAGGATTAATCTCTATCCAGGCAATGGGTTTATTAGGTCATAAGTAACACACATTTCACTCTTAGAGACTCCACTCACTGCTAGGGATGGCAAGCCGAGTTTGTCCATAATTATCAGCTTTGGCAGAATTAATTTGCCGGGTGTTATTGTCTCCCGAGAAACTCCCAGTCCTGAGGTTAAGATTGACATCAACAAAACCAGAAGGTCAGTGGGAGAGAAAAGGTGGTCCCAGTGGAGGTGATAAACATGGTCACTTCCTAAAGAACGGTCCTTTCTACAGTACGAATTAAAAGATTAGCCTGGGTTCTGCCTTTCTCCACTGTTTTTTTGGCCATAGCAAAGCCTTCCTGCAGGCTACACGTAGAGTTAAATTATCAACTCCTGGAGCCAGAAAGCCTCTCATAAAACATGCCACCCTTTGGTGTCATGTTTTGGGTGAAGAAATCTAGGGTGTGAAAGGTGCGGTGACTAATCCAAGGTCACACAGGCAAGGGCTAGAGTGGTTTAGTTCTTGCCTACATGGTCCCACTGACCTTTGAGTGTTGGGAGTCACCTTGTCACTATTCAGTAATTCCTAAACATCCTCTTTCCAAAATAAAATGTATATGGCTCTGTGGATAGAGGGGTGGTGGTGTGTGGGTGGGAACAGCAAACACCCCCCACCCCAGTCCCTGGGCTGGAATGTATACCAGATGACTTGTAACTGCGTGGAGGTGGGAGGTGCAGGGCTCAGGCTACTGAAGCCCATCTGTCCTGTTCCTCTTGGGCCCACCTTGTCCCCCTCTTCAACTCCATCCAAACTTCCTTTTTTGAACTTTGGAAGTCAGCAAGATCGCTCTTAGCAGACATGCCAGGGTGGACCTGGTGAGATGGGTCTCCCCAGCCTGCCTAGCAGGCTCTACTGTGCTGTTGAGCCAGCAGGCTGGGAGTGGGAAGTGGAGGGGACAGTCCCTTGGAGCTTAGGTCCTCGGCAACATAGCCTTAGGCATTGTTGCTACAATAATGAAAATGAAAGAGGCATTTTTCTAGTTGCTACAATATCCATGCAGGTGCTGTTGTTCATCTCCTTCTTTCTCTGGGTTTGCCATGTGAAAATCTCCCAGGGATTTGGAGCAAGCTAGAGATGAACTCTGCTCTTGTTGGGAGGACTCCAAAACCCTCCCTTTGCTTTCATGTCTCCAGGCCAGCCAGACTGGTTCCATTGAAGGGTGCAGATCCAGCCAGCAGTTGAACTCGGAATGAGGAATTCCCACAGAACAGTGAGGATCCCTCACAGTGCTTTTCCTTGCTGTGGCTGCTTTCCTATGCCCTTGTTCCCTGTTGTCCCAGGTTAATGAAAAATAGCATTAACCTTCATAGTTGAGGAATTGAGTCAGACAGGATGAAGAACTTCTTGGTTTGGGGCTTCTACCACATGTTCTAACTTGGTGCGGGCCTTTCAGGCTGCAAGCACAGGGAACAGTGCTGGTGTGGCTTGGGACTCTTCTCTAGGTCTCTGGAGTAACTCAGGTCTATTTGGGATCTGCTTTGTGCAAAGGTGGCTGTGTGTCTCTGCTTTTCCTGGGACAGACCCAGTTGTGAATAGTGCTCCAGCCACCCCCAAATAACATTAGGATGCAGCTGTACTATTGATCCATATGTTCATTTTAACTCTTGCCCTGCACCAAGTTTTATCAATTCCCTTTAGTTTTTAGACCCAAACTGTTTATTACATTAACAGTTGTCTAAAGGGAGTATGTTTCTCAAAACAAAACCCAAAACAACAAACAACGATTGAAGGAGGCAGAGAGATCACTGTAAGTGAAAAGGGGGAACCAGTGCTCCTGTACCCACTCAGCCAGCCATAACCCTCCTGTGGCTGTGTGAGGCTCGAGAGGTGGAGGGATAGTTGGGGGCAGGGAGACTTAGATGCTCTGCAGCTTCTTGTCCTTGGATCTTGATGAGGATAAGGGAATATGTAGGGACACTTGTTGGAAGCAGAAGCCAGAGAGGTGGCAAGAAGGCCACTAGCTTCAGGGAGGAGAGAAGGAGGGCTTTAGCCAGGGATAGTTTGGCTGAGGATGGAGCCTGTAGTTGGCACATCATATTGGAGCATGTGTTCTTTTGCCCTCCTGACTTATGGACTAGAAGGATTTTGTTATTTTGACCATATTCCTTCTTCTTAAGAAGATTTTCTTATATGGAGAACTTGTTCTGACATGGTCACCCAGGAACACATTTATAATAGTGGAGACCAATGGACCAGATAGTAGGGCTTTTTCTACTATACAAGTTCAAAGGTTAAGGAAAACCTTTTTAGTTTGTTTGTTGTTTTCCTCCAAAAGGTCAAATTAAAGCTGGGCCATGGATGGCGCACGCCTTTAATCCCAGTACTCTGGAGGCAGAGGCAGGTGAATCTCTGAGTTCAAGTTTGAGGCCAGCCTGGTCTATGGAAGTGACAGCCAGGGGTACACAGAGAAACCTTGCCTGGAACACTGCCCCCCTCAAAAAAAATGTAAAGTTGAAGGAGGAAGCTATTATATCTTTTAAATTTAATACTATATAAAAATATATATTTAATTAATTAAAATTATTTTGGGGAGAGTCAGGCCATTTAGCCCAAGCTGACCTGAAACTTCCCATGAAGCTCAGGCTGGCCTTTAACTGGTGATACTATTGCCTCTGCCTCCAGAGTGCTGGCATTACAGGTATGTGTTGCCAAGCCCAGCTTAGTCCATAGTTCTTGCCACACCGACTGCCGCCCCCCAAGTGCTGGGATTAAAGGCATTCAACACCACTCACGCCCCTGTCCCCGGTGTGTGCCACACTGACTTCTTGCCCTGCTCTTTGCCATCACACTTGCTTGCCTTTTTCTCCAAAGATCTTCCTCAACTCTTTGCTTACAGAATCCTTGTTCAGTTCCCCAATACTCCAGAGCCCCTAGTATTCCCAGCCCTGTGGGAGCAGTTCTAAGCCTGGTTCCAACCCTGCCTTGGGTTATAATTAATGCTTCTCTTCCTGTGACTCCTTTGAAGGCCTGGTTTGGTCCTTCTCTGTGTTTCACGGTAGGAGAGGCACTAAATAACTATCCATGGATCCGTTTTCTACGCAGAAGAAGAGGCATAGAGAGGGTAGGGAGCGCATTAGGTTATATAAAGTTATGTATAAGGAGGACCACGGAGAGGCCACAGACAGACATAATGGTTCACTCTATGATGCTGAAGCAAATGGGATGGCCCTCGGGAGTGTAGCTCTGGTTTTCCTGTGCTATCTGAGAGTTAATTCCAATGAAGACCTAGGATTCAGTCTTTTAGCATTCTCCCTTTTAGAACTCATATTGGTTTTTGCTACTGGTATTTTTAATTTTTGGAAGTGGGGGTGGGGATCCTTTGGAATGAGGCACAAAGCCTAACAAGATTTACAGGTTTATTTTGCTTGCAATAAGCTCTCTGTTCCTAATTCTTACATTTTAGAGGACAGAAAGGATACAGTGTCCTGATTTGAGACTAAAAACAAAGTGTCCATTGCAATGCAAGGGCCTTGGACAAAAGGCCTCCTTTGGGAAGAGAATACTGTTTGGCTTTAGATCACTCTGGTGTTGATTCTTATGCGATAGACTCTCGCTTGGGAAAGAATTGGCTGGTTGATTCTGAAGTTGGGATGTTGACCTGTGTGCTTCCAGATGAAGATGAGAAGGCAGCAGGGTGGCTGTTCCAAGCTGGGTTCTGCCTATGTAATGACCTGGTTGGCCTCTTGGGGTGGTGAGGGATGTGACCTTGAGAAACCTCTCCCGGTTGTGCTTGTATTCTCTTTATTGAGTTGTGGTCTGTGTCTGGCACCATTTGGCTCATCAATAGCTTGGAGCCTGGAACAGTAGAGGCTTTGGGATGGGAGGAATGGAGGAAAGAAGCCTTCGAGGAGAGGCAAAGGATGACACCTCACCCACTGTTTCCCTGGCCTTCAGCAGGTAATGCACTCGAGGAGAGGCACTGAGAATTAAAAAGGATGACACCTCACCCACTGTTTCCCTGGCCTTCAGCAGGTAATGCATGCTAACAAAGCCATTTATAGGAAGGGATGAGCCATGACAGGTGAATTCTTTCAAGTTCTCATGTATCAGGAGAGTGCCTCTTCTTAGTTGGTAACTATTGCCACCAAGTTTTTTTGTATCCTTACAGAAACAGTCTAAGTCTACATAATGTGAACGTACACACAATCAAGCTATCAGCAGCCTTTTGTTACCTGAAATCCTTGGTGTCCTGAATAATGGGATTAATTTTAACTCTAAATATATTTGTGGTATGG